CTCCAGTGTCTGAGGAGTCGGTAGAGCCCAGCGGCCCCTACGCAGAGCTGGTGGGTTGCCTCATGTACCTGATGACTTGCACTCGCCCAGATCTCGCATACCCTCTCAGCATCCTGGCTCGCTTTGTGGCCACAGGCAGACACCGACCGCAGCACTAGTCTGCCGCTAAGAGGGTTCTGCGTTATCTTGCTAGTACATCGGGCATGGGGTTAGTGCTAGGAGGACGTGGGCCAGTGGTCCTTACTGGACACACAGACGCTTCTTGGGCAGACGACGCCGAGACACTCAGGTCTACCTAGGGCTACTTCTTCAGCCTTGGTTCAGGTGCCGTCTCGTGGAGAGCTACCCACTCCTCGTCTGTTGCCCAGTCCAGCTGTGAGGCCGAGTTCTACGCTGGTGCCATGGCGGCACAGGAGCTCCGCTGGCTGACCTTCTTGCTCACTGACTTAGGTGAGCGGCCTAGCTCTGCCCCGGTCCTGTTCGCTGACAACAGGGCCATGATCCTCCTGTGTCAGGAGCCTCGACTCGAGGGCAGAGCAAAGCACATTCAGCTGCGGTACTTCCTCCTGCGTGAGCTACAGCAGCGACGTCAGGCTCGCGTAGTACACTTGGCCTCAGGTGCCAACACGGCTGATATCTTTACGAAGGCGCTTGCGCCTAAAGATCATCAGCGGCACTGTGTACAGCTTGGTCTAGTTCCTGTAGCCTCTCACTTGCTAGGACCTTGACTTTGTACTGTCCTTTATACGTATACTCGGACTGGACTTGTGTCCTCTTCAAGTGGCTGGACTAGTAGTACCGCCCCGCTCTTGTTCTTGCCTTGTCTGTACTCCTTCTGACTGGTCTCTCAGACCCTTGTCTCAGAGGTTGGACTAGTAGTGCCGCCCTGAGCTGCTTGTTTAGGACATTCTTCTATGCAGTCTAGGGGGTGTGTCAAACATGTGTAGTCGTTATGTTTGTATAGACTGTATAGGGTCACTTCTTAGAGGGTACAATTCTTAGGTATATCTTCCTGTACTCTCTCACTAGTAATCATTCACTTCTTTAATTTTGATAGCAGGAGCGGTTATCGAGTCGCACAGGCGACTCGATTGCCGCTTCGGTTACCATCCGCGATGTTGTAACTGTCAGTCGCAACCTCCAGTTGCGATCCTTCGAGTTCCTTCGCGTTCTTTGTCTGCCCCCTCGTGTAACCTCCGTTGACTCGCGTACCCCCCCTGTAATCTTCCTCGAGTGTAGTGTTACACTTCAGAAACGCTTAAGTCCTTTGAGATATTTTCAACAGCTTTTATAGTCACTGGCTTTAAATGAGTCAATAACATATATAATGATGGCATTTTGTGTCAGGATATTTAAGCGTTTTATTTTTATAAGCAGCAGGTGCTTCTATTGAAGTTCACTTTGTTGAGTGCAAGTGCCTTTGACAGGTGATTTAAAAATGGCAATCTTGGTGGAAGCACGTGCTATAAATGAGAGCACTCGAAGGAAGTCCATGTGCTTACTTGGAAAGGATAAGGTTTCAGGTGTCACTCTAAGGGGTTCTTGAAATGACGTTATTGATAAGATATTTCAATATGTTTTCAATTGGAGCAGCATATTTTCCTCTTGTACCCTATTGGTTGATGAGATCTCATGGAAGTTTGATTGTGTTGGGCTGAGAAAAAGCCCTTAGGATCTTTTGCAGAGACTAAGTCCCAGCTTGTAGAGACTTGAGACTTGGAGTAGTGCAGCGGAAGTTGAGGCAGTTGAACCCTTGTACTAGTATGTGAGAACAAGTGATTGATTAAAGAAACAAGCATACAGCAATATATAGAAGATAAGAAAGCAGTTGTAGAATACAGTTACAGGAACGGTTTATCGAGTCGCACAGCGACTCGATTGCCGCTTCGGTTACCATCCGTGATGTTGTAACGGTCAGTCGCAACCTCCAGTTGCGACCTTTCGAGTCCTTTCGCATTCTTTGTCCGCCCCCTCGTGTAACCTCCGTTGACTCGCGTGCTCCCCTGTAATCTTCCTCGAGTACAGTGTTACACTTCAGAAACGCTTAAGTCCTTGAGATATTTCCAACACTCCCCTTCGTTTCTGGAGTGCTGGAGTGTTCAGATCCGGTGACGTTTGTTTGCCCGGTTAGGAGCATGCAGTAGTCGAATTTTGCTTTCGCCAATTTCTTCGTCAGATAATCTGCGGCCATTTCTGTCGTCGGGCAGTAACTGAGTTGAAGTCTCCCCTTCGCGATTTCATCCTTGACGAAGAAGTACCGCAGGGCGATGTGCTTGGTTCGGTTGGCGAAGCCGTCCTTGTTCGCGATTTTGATCGCAGATTGGTTGTCGCAGAGGAGTGAGAAGGCGGGCAGGGTCGCGATCTTCGCTTCTTCGAGTAACTCTCGTAGGTAGAGTCCTTCCTTGGTCGCAGTAAAAAGGGCGATATACTCTGCTTCAGCCGAGGATAGTGCGATTAACTCCTGCTTGCTCGACTGCCAGGAGATAGTTCCGATAGGTTCTAGTCGGTAGATGTAGCCCGTCCTAGACCGTCGATTTTCGCTGTCTCCCGCGTGGTCGGCGTCGACGTATCCGAGTAGTTGTACGGACGGTGTTGTTGTCTTGCTGTAGGTGAGCCCGATCGTCGGCGTGGAGACGAAGTAGAGTAGCGCTCGATTGAGTTCTTCGAGATCTTCCTGTTGCGGCTGCTTCAGATGTGTCGCCAGCTGACTCGCACTATAGGATAGGTCGGGTCGGCAGGTTACTGCTGCGAATAGTAGGCAGCCGAGCTTCTGTTGATACTCCTGGATTTGTTTCGCGGGGAGTTTTGTGGAGGCGCTACTGTTGTTCCCGTAGCGGTAGGGAGTTGGGACCGCAGTCGGTGCTAGACCGAATTTCTTCGCGACGGTGCTTGAGTACTTTCCAGCGTGTAGGTAGAACGCCGTGTCGTCTTCGACGATGTTCAGTCCTAGGTACTGAGTAACTTCGTCGGACACCGTGAGAGTTAAATCTTCTTTCAGCTCCCCTTCGAACCAGGTGGCGATGTCGATAGTGGAGCCGATGTAGAGCAGGTCGTCGACGTAGACGATGAGCAGAACATAATCTCTTCCCTTCTGCAGTCGGTACATCCCTTGGTCATGCGGTAATTGTAGGAAGCCGATCTTTGCGAGACGGCCGTGGAGATGCTGCTGCCAGAGCCGCGGGGCTTGCTTGATCCCGTATAGGGATTTTGTCAGTCGGCATATTTTCGTGGGATCGTTGATGAATCCGTGGGGTTGTTCGACGAAGATCTCAGCGTCCACAGGTGCGTATAGGAATGCATTCGCGACATCGATTTGGCGTAGTGGCAGTTTTTTCGTGGCCGCGACGGCGAGTAGGATGCGTAATGAGGTGTGACGGGAGACTGGAGCGAAGGTTTCTGTGTAGTCGGCTCCGTATCGTTGGTCGAAGCCTCGTACGACCCATCGAGCTTTGAATCGTTCGATGGAACCGTCTGAGTTGGTCTTGATGCGGTACACCCATTTCCCCGAGAGAACGTTTTTTCCGTTGATGCTCGTTGCAGGTACCAGTTTCCATGTTTCTCGGTCTTGCAGAGCTTTTAACTCCTTTTCCATTGCTTCCTTCCATCTTGCCTTATGTTCCCCCCCCAGAGCCTGCGACAACGTTGAAGGCTCTCGCGGAGAAGGCGGCGGCGGATTCTGGACGGAGACCCAGAGGCCTAGAATCTGGAGTCCCGTGGGCGTGTGTCGAGGGGAATTTTCATTCCCGGAATAAGCTGCTTCGTCACCGTCTTCGGGGTCAGGTAAGAAATTGGGGCCGATGCGTTCCGAAATATTCGTGTCGACGGGGTGAGGTGTAGCGTAACCTTGGTCGGCGAAGTGGTAAAAGGTGTCGAGGTTGTTGCTATCGAGGGGATTTTCTTCATCGAGTGGAACAGGTACAGAACAGAATGGGAGTGGTCCGGCAGCTTCCGAGGCTCCAGGTACGTCTTCTTCTGCTGCGTCAGCCTCGGCAGTATGGTCAGCGAAGGAGCGAAGGCCCGCGAAGCCGTCGGTGGGGTCTTGTGTGTTGGCAAGGTTGTCCAGGTAATGCTGCAGCGTCAGTCGTTCGTAGAAGATAACATCGCGTGATGCCACCGTGTTTTTGTCTTGTATGTCGAGAATTTTCCACGCGTGAAAATGTTTTGCGATGCCGAGGTGTAGTCCCCATCGAGCTCTTTGTGAGAAGCGTCCTGCTCGGGCTGTGTGGGGTCTGTACTGTACCATGCAGCCGAAAACGCGGAGTAATTTTGTGCTGCCCCTTTTTCCTGTCCACAACAGGTGCGGTGATGCGTTGTTGGGAAGTGATGACGAGGACAGCAGGTTGTGCAGGTGAACAGCATGTGTCATCGCGTCTGGCCACAGTGCGTTGGGCAGCCTCATCCCCAGAAGCAGTTTTCGCATCGTCGTCTGCAAGGTCCGGTTCATGCGTTCTGCTACCCCCTGCTGCTGGTGAGCATAGGGCAGAGACACCAGGCGTCGGATTCCCCTTTCCGCGAGATAGGTCCTGAAGCGTTGTGACTGGTATTCCAGTGCACCGTCTGACTGGAAACTCTTGAGTTTGGTTCCTGACTCTCGTTCGGCGATTGGAAGCCATGTGGTGAAGGCCTCGAAGGCTTGATCGCGCGTTTTGAGATTGAAGTGCCAGACGTATCTGGTTGCGGCGTCGATGAACGTGATGACGTAGTTGAAGTCGGCTTCGGTGTCGTCTCGAGGCATGTTTAGAATATCGCTGTAGACTTTTTCCATCGGAGCGTAAGTGGGTGCGCTTGGATTGTGATGGGCTTGGAAAGGTTGATGAGGAAGATCTGCTTCGGGGCATGTGAAACACCGTGCGCGTGGTCGTCGGAGTTCCTGGCCGTTCGTCGTCAGAAGGGCGTTGCGTTCTAACACCTCTGCTTGGATTGTTTGAAGTATCGTGCTGTTTGCAGGATGTCCGAGACGTTGGTGCCAGATGTCGTCGGGAGCGCGGTGGCCGGGCGAGCGGTGGTAGATGTCGGCGTTGGAGAAGAACGCGACGACTGAGGCGGGACTTCGACAAGCTTCTCGTGTGGCGGGCATAAGTTGGTCTGCTTCCGTTGGCGGTCCTCGTGTTGATGGTGGTGGTACTCGGCTGGGTCCTGCTGCTGATACTGCAGGTGATGGTTTTGTTGGGACACTTGCGGGTACTTGTCTTTCTTGTCTGATAACTGCTAATGCTCGTGTTCTCTCTGCTGCAGGTATGGTGTTGGAGTGCCAGAAGCCGTCACTGTCGAAGTCGGGGTCAAGATCCGGCGGGTGAGTCCAGGCGGCGAACGATACGATGCCATCGCTGTCGGCAGTTCCGCGGTCGGGGACGAAGTCCAACACGAAGACACCGGACTTCAGGAGGGCACGACCGATGAAGAGGCCGCCCTTCCCGTGGTAAAGCCGGAACTCGTTGGAGTAAGAGTCGCACTCCAGGTGAATCCCCTTGGCCATTAGTTGGCTTACGCTTAGTAGGTTGTATCCCAGATTGTCGACAATGAGCACCTTGTTGAGTTGAAGTATGACATTCGTCTCCATTGATTGTAACTGAACCACGCCCTGTCTGTTTGTCTTCAGGTTTTCGTTGTTGGCGACGGTGATGACGACGTCGCGGTTGAGTCGTTTCTCCTGTTGTACGAAGCGTCCCGAGGAGCACATGTGTTGACCGCAGCAGCTGTCCAAGAACCAGGTGTTTCGCCCGGTGGGTTCGGCGTTGGCGACCGCAGCGTATGTCGGGTTGACCTGAAGTCCTTGTGAGCGCGGCGGCGGGAATTCCTCTTCGTCTGGTGCGTAAGTGGGTGGTGATCTGGGTGCGCAGTTGTCGATGTGTACCATGCAGTTGATGATATTTGGTGTCCCTTGTGCAGATGTTGAAGAGCGCCTTGGGGAACTTGCTTGAGTGGAAGCAACTTGTGGGTCTGCTGCTCGGTAAACGCGAGGGCGGTTGCAGTTGACTTTGGAGTGTCCGGAAGTCTGGCAGTTGTGGCAGAACGGCGGCACGATGGTGAGTCCTCGGTTGTCGCGTTGATCTTGCTTGCTGCGTCGGTTGTAGTTTATGTCATTTCTTCTTTGAGTGTAGAAGACTAACTGCTGTTGCTTCCTTGGTTGTCTTTCCTCGAACAGATCCATCTCCTGTTGTTCAGCGTGAAGCTCGGCGCAGAGGTGCATCTCCGAGATCCTTCCGTGGGCGCGAAGAAGCGATCGTGTGGTTCTCCATTCTGGTCCGAGCCCGGCGAGGACAAGTGTGACGAAGCTTTCTTCAGTGATCGTTCCTCCGCACCGAAGCAGGCGGTCGCGCAGGGTCTGGCAGCGACTCATATACTGCATCGCCTTTTCCCCGGTCTTCATCTGTATTGTTGTCAGCTGTTGCATGAGTCTGCTTTGTGTCACGCTGTCGTTTGCTTGGTAGAGGCATTTGAGATGATGCCATGCGAGTTCCGCGGAGTTTCCATAACTCCGATACGTTCTGATGCTCTGCTGCTCTTGTGGTGACAGGTTCCGCAGGAGGACTGTATACGCCAGTAGCGACTGATACGTGAAGATCTCTTGTTCCTTTCCAGTGCCGTTGCTTGGGAATGGCAGGGACCCGTTGAAGTATCCCAGAAGATGCGCGGCCTCCATCAGCAGCTCGAACTCGAAGCTCCAGGTAAAGAAGTCGTGTCCGTTGAATGGTGAGGATGTTTGTAACTTGATGACGTGTGAGAATTGAGCCTGAAGACTGAGAATCTCGTTTGGTGTTTGTTGTGATGCAGCTGCTGTTGGTTGGGCGCGGGGCGGCATGAACTCGAACGTCCCCGGTGAAGAATGATAAGGCGCAAAGGTAGGTGCTTGGTTGTGTCGCCCGAAGGATGAGTTGTCGAGGCTCATCGGCGCTAATCCCATGTTTCCTCCATTGCTCTGTGTTGAATGCGCAGGTGTCCTTGTCTGCTGTTGCTGGTCGAAGTGTGACATGAAGCTGAAGAATCTCTCCATGAGATTCGGGTCCACACTTGAAGAGGGAGACGGAGTCACCATCTCTGGTACTCTTCCTGTTGTTTCTTGAGCAGTCCCGGTCTCTGTCTGCAATCCTGAGGTGTGCAGACCAGAGTTGCCGTGTTGAGTTTCTTGGCCGCTGGGTGAGCCCGTAGAGGCTTTCTTGCCCTTGCTGTCCATGTCTTGTAATCAATGAAGTCGTTGAATTGAGTTGAGTTGCAGTTTGTTGATGGAGCGTAGTTGCTGGGAGTTTGATCTCTGACCAGCTCTCATACCATGTTGGGCTGAGAAAAAGCCCTTAGGATCTTTTGCAGAGACTAAGTCCCAGCTTGTAGAGACTTGAGACTTGGAGTAGTGCAGCGGAAGTTGAGGCAGTTGAACCCTTGTACTAGTATGTGAGAACAAGTGATTGATTAAAGAAACAAGCATACAGCAATATATAGAAGATAAGAAAGCAGTTGTAGAATACAGTTACAGGAACGGTTTATCGAGTCGCACAGCGACTCGATTGCCGCTTCGGTTACCATCCGTGATGTTGTAACGGTCAGTCGCAACCTCCAGTTGCGACCTTTCGAGTCCTTTCGCATTCTTTGTCCGCCCCCTCGTGTAACCTCCGTTGACTCGCGTGCTCCCCTGTAATCTTCCTCGAGTACAGTGTTACACTTCAGAAACGCTTAAGTCCTTGAGATATTTCCAACAGATTGGATGTGATAATACTTAATGGATAAGGCCCTCATTTTGTTTTGCGTGGTCCCTCAAACCGCCGAGTGTAGAGCTTTCAGCTGCTGCGCACATGGGCGTGCCTTCAGGGTTACGCTACCTCGACTGTTCCGAACAGATCCCGCCTGATATGGCGGGAAAATCCCCACTTCACCTGGGGCGTCGCCCCCCATGCCGTGGTGAAGTGCGGAGCTGACGGTGCCTCCCCGCATTTCCGCAGAAGGGGAGGTCAGCTCCACGGGTGTCGAATGTATACGCGCTATTAGTTTGATTCTCCGGACAAAAAAATACTCGCTTGTCACGTGTCGTACTCCTGAACTTTCGCTGAACTTCGTGTCGTACTCCTGAAACACCTCCGGAGCCCCTATACAGGGGGGAACTGAATGTTAAACCTGTCAGGCACTTGTTGAAGAACACGCCCGAGCATACCTAGTTTGAAGGTTTGAAGTCCTTATTTTGTGGTCATCCAACCTCAGTTTCTCAGTTTCTTAGGCCATGTTCTGAAGTTTGGCCTAACTTTTATTCTGGCTGAAATTTGGTACAATTTTTTCAAGACAACTTTCCCAAAATTATCGGAAGCTGGCCGTCAGGTGTCGCAGTCCTCTGCGACCCAAATTGTGTTCTGTCGCATATCGTTCTGCGGATCGCCTGTCGATTTGATCTGGCGGGATGGGGTTCCGTTCGCAAAATGTCGAGGCCTGGTCGCCTAGTTTTTCGCATCGGGGCTGGCTAAAGTTCACCAACCACAACTTTTGCCAACCTAAACCTCAATGTTGTGCCAAACTTTCGCTGACGTGGCGAGTCGGACGGCCAAACTTCAGAACGCGATCTTAGTTTCTTGTCGATTACGCTGTGCGTCCACAGGCAGTCACGACTTGCGATACGAACAGTACGATATCGCCTTAGATTAACAGGCGTAGCGTAAGATTTCTTCGTCAACAGGGGAACCAGCGTTGGAAGCTCCTCGTTGACCGTAGCTTATCTCGTAGCAGTTACGCAGCGCGAGCAGCATGGTCGGGAGCTTACCGCGGACTAAGCCCGAAATCATCGAGCTGTCGTCCGACGACGAGGACGACAGAAACAACACGCGTGTGCGACAGAAGGCTCGCACAATAGCTCTAGCCCCGGAGAACAGGATAGGTGAACCTAGGAGAGACGTCAAGCAGGAATTCGCGGAGGATACGCCGGCGAAGCGGCACCGAGGAGATGGTCTGACGGATCTAATGGATGGCCGTGCCAGTGGACCTACTGGCGCTAATCGATCTAATGGCGCTCGTGGCGTCTGTGGCGCTAGTGGCAGTGAGCCGCACGGGATGGGTGGGGGGGTCCCGCGGGCGCGAGTTAAGGAGGAACGGCACGAGGTGGAACGGCCGGAGGAGCGCGGAGATCGCAGGGAGACGACGAGGGAGGCGAAAGGGGGGGTGAAGGCGCGGGGAATGCAAACAAAAGCGGAAGCGGATACGGGGAGCGGAGCGGGTGGCGGAGCGCGTAGCGGAGCGCCAGGGTCCGCGCGTCAGAAACAGGGTCGCATCCGAAGATACCGCTCGCGCAGCCGAGCGGTTGCGTCCAGAGCGACGAAACCGCTCGCACTGCCCCGCGGCAGCAACGGGAGGCTTCGGGATCTGGGAGGGGCGAGATGGAAAGGCGACCGCGGCGTGAAGCGGAAACGGCGAGCTAGTTTGGAAGCTCGGAAGTGGGCTGGTAGGGAGGAGCGGAGGAGGCGAGTCGAAAGTGGAGCAGGTTCTGGGGAGGGGAGGGAGAGGTCGGTGCTGGGGACGGTAGTGAAGGTGGAGGATGCGGAAGCGGCGGAGAGGGGGGGTACTTGGGAGGAGTCTGGAGAGCCGGCGACGGGCAGTGAAGGCACGGCGTCGCGTGATTATGTGTCGCCTGGTGGAATGTCGCCTGGTGGAGTGTCGCCTGGCGGTATGTCGCCTGGCGATGCGTTGCGTGGCGACGAGGGGAGAGGAGTTACTGTGAAGGCGGCGCTAGACGGGCGGACGGGTGCGGAAGGAGAGGGGGAGGAGCTCGAGGAGGGCGAGGTGGTTGGGGACGAGGACGAGAGCAACGAGGAGGGGAGTGAGAGGGGCGGGGAGGAGGCGGATGAAGGGGAGGGGGAGGATGATAGCGTGGTAGGGAGAGGAGAGGGGGATGGGGCCGAGAAAGCGGAAGAGGGAGGAAGCGCGGAGGAGGAGGGGCAGGAGGGGCGAGAGGCAGAGGCGATAGGCGGGGTTAGTAGAGGGGGTGATGCTGTGCGAGAACGAGGGGGGAAGAGCGACATGTGTGCCGCAACGGCAGCTGGAGTAAGTGATAGCGCAGTGGCGGATGAAGGAGAGCTGATTGGCGTGAGAGTGAAAACGGAGGCGGTGGCGGTGGCGGTGGGAGAGGAGGAGCGCGAAGCCAGTGCAGGGAATAGTTTGGGAGGAACAGAGGACGGTGAGAGTAAAGAGGGGAAGAGGAGGAGAGAGGAGGAGGATTCGGGTGAGGAGAAGAGCAGGGAGGAAGGGCGCGAGGGGAGCGAGGGCGGGGGAACAGTAGGTGAGAGCGTCAAGAGAAGGAAAGAAAGCGAGGAGAGGGGGGGGAGGCGGGAGAGGGAGGAGAGGGAGGAGAGGGGGGAGAGGGGGGAGAGGGAGGAGAGGGCGGAGATGGCGGAGATGGCGGAGAGGGAGGAGAGGGAGGAGTGGGAGGAGAGGGAGGAGAGGGAGGAGTGGGAGGAGAGGGAGGAGAGGGAGGAGAGGGAGGAGAGGGAGGAGAGGGAGGAGAGGAAGCCGACAGCATGCATAATACGACGAAGCCATTGGGGAATGGTGGGCGCGCCAGGGTCCGCTGCAGCGCCCCTGGTTTGTGATTCTGATTCTGACTCCGAGGACTTGCCGCTGGTACGTGGCACCGGGGGAGGAGATGAGGGGAGGGGGCATGGCGACGCAATGGTGGAGGAGGATGCGAGTGCTGGTGATCATGCCAGTGATGGTGCCGAGGGGGTCGACACTGCCGCGGCCAGTCCCAGCTACACTGGGATTCCTCCAGAGGGCTCGAGGACGAGGGATGTTCTGCGACAGGCAGCTGAGAACGGCAGATGCCAGCTCAGGAACGAAGCAGGTGGAGAGAGCGTGGTGGCAGAGGGAACGCTGCGAGTGAAGCATGAGGCTGTGAGTGAGAGTGAGGAGGATGTTGAGGAGGAGGAGGAGGAGGAAGAGGAGGAGGGAGCAGTGGGCGCAGGGCAGGGAGCAGGGGTTGGGCTGGGAGGAGTGGTGGTGCCGTCTGCTCGCTTGATGCTGCGGCCTGTGGTGAAGCAGGAGTGTTCCGCACTTGCTGCAAACGAGTGGGATAAGTTAAGGGCGAGACTGGCTGCCATGCAAGTATTCGCATCTGTACCAGCAGCAGCACCAGCAGCAGCAAGTGGGGGCTATGTGGGCCCTGCCTCCACTTCTGCTGCTGCTGCCTCCGCTGCTGTTGCTGTGCCGTCTGCTGGTGGCCGTGCGTCCGTCCCTCCTGCTCCAGCATTGCCTGCCGTTACTGCCACTGCTAAACCTGCTACAGCCATTGCCACTGTTGCCCCCACAGTGACTGCTACAGGTGCAGTTACAGCTTCCGCCACCTCTCCTGCTGCTCCCAGTCCGCCTGCTCCTGCCCCTGCTGCTGCTGCTGTTCCAGGGCCATCACAGGCCATGACCCTGTGGGTGGCACCAGCACTGCCAGCGCAGCAGGGGACAGACTCTATGGGCCTAGCGCGCTGCAGCAATCATAAAGCTGCTTCTGCTACACGGAAGGAGGTCTCGCTTGCCACCATAGCTGGAGGGGCAGAGGGAACAGCTAGAGCTGGTGGCTTGGGAGAGGGTGACGAGGGAGCAGGGGGGCTTGAGGGCAGTAGCCGTAGGGATGTGGGGGGTTGTAAGGGTGTTAAGGTAGAAGTTGTTACAGCTGATGCTGTGCATTCGCAGCTGCTGCCTGCGGAAGCTTCACCTGAAGCATCACAGCCCTTCCAGTCAATGCAGTTGGTGCAGCCGCTACAGCCGCTACAGCTGATGGGAGACAACAACGAAGCAGGGGCAGCGCGGGCCCTGCCGTGGGGTGACTGGGAGGCGCGGGTGCGCGTGCTGCGGCGGCAGCACATGCTGTTTGAGTGCAAGGACGTGGACGGGGAGCAGGCTGAGATGGTGTGGCGGCGGCGGGAGCAGCGGGACCTGCTGCTGCTGCAGGAACGGGAGCGGAGGGAGAGGGACGAGGGGGGTGAGAGGGGTGAGCGGGAGGAGTTGCAGCAGCAACAGCAGCAGCAGGGGCAGGTGCAAGGAGCGCAAGAGGCTGGTTTGCAAGAGGCACAGCCAACGGCGCAGCAGCAGCAGGAGGCACAGCAGCGGCAGCAGCAGCAGCAGCAGTTGCAGCAGCAGACATGGCGAGTGGTGGTGGAGGATGTGGTGGATGATGAACAGATGGGGCAAGAACCCCTTCCCCCGCAACCGCTGCAACCACTGCCGGAGCAGCAACAACAGCTTCTGCTGCAGCGGCATTCACTAGAGCAGGAGCAGGCCCTGCAACAAGCAGAACCCCCGCCTAGAGTACCTGCTCCTGACCCGCTGCTGCAGGAGTGGATGGAAAATGTGAAAACTGTTGCTGATGGGGTAGGGGGCTCCCCCACGGGCCAGGCACAGGCACTGGTGCTGCAGGTGCCGACCAGCCAGGTTGGGACGGAGGAGGAGGAGGCGGAGGCAGAGCGGGCGGTGCAGGTGGCGCTGAGGAAGTTTGCAAGCTACAGCGAGGGCTTTGAGCGGAACAAGAGGCAGGTGGAGGAGGCGCAGCAGATGCTCTTGCTGCTTGCGCCTGCTGGGCTGGCTCTTGCTGCGGATGCTGCTGCTGCTGGTGCTGATGCTGGTGGCGGTGGTGTTGCTGATCCCATTGTTGCAGAAGCTGTTTCAACCGATACAGCAGCAGTAGCAGCAACTGCTGCTGCTGCCACCTCTGTTCGTGCCGCAGTAGCAGCCACTGATGCCGCTGCTGCTGCTGCTCCTAGCTCCTCCCCTCCGTCCGCCCAAACCCCCCTCCTCTCATCCGTCCCAGCCGCACCCATCCCAGCCGCAGCAGCACCTGCCTCGCGCGCGCGGCGGAGGTTCTCGGCCAACTCGGCATCATACACTGAGATGGCCCGCAACAAGCACCTGCTGCCACGGGACATCATAGGCCACGTGCCGGGGGTTCCTGTGGGCTGCACCTTCGCCTCGCGCCTCCACCTGGCAGTCGTAGGTATGCACACGAAGCACATGAGTGGGATCGATTATATTCCGGGCTCACGGTGCCTGTTCAAGCAGCATGTGGCCACGTGCATTGTGATGTCGGGGGGGTATGAGGACGATGAGGATGAAGGCGAGGAGTTCTGGTACACTGGGCAGGGGGGCAGCGGGAATCAGCAGCTGAAGCGGGGGAATCTGGCGCTGGCAAATAGTTTTTATTTGCAGCTGCCCGTGCGGGTGGTACGCGGGCAGGTGGAAGAGGTGGGAAAGAAAAGGGTGTATGTGTATGATGGGCTGTACCGGGTGCAGGATTTCTCGCATGAGCCTGGGAGGAAGGGGTGGTTTGTGTACCGGTTTAAGATGGTGCGCGAGGGGGGGCAGCCTGCGCTGAGGACGCGCCTGGTGACGTGGCATAGGAGCAGGAGGAGAATGCTGACAGGGACAGATGACGGAGCTGCTGCTGCTGCTGCTGCTGCTGCTGGGGCTGCTGGGGCTGTGGCGTTGCCTGGGGCCACTGCTGCTCCAGCAGCTGCTGCTGTCAGCGTGGAGGCTTCTGCTGCTCAGCTGGCAGGAGCAAGTGTGGGTGCTTTGCTATTAGCAGGAAAGGCAGATGGTAGAGAGCCAGGGTTGACAGCAGCCGCACCCACAACAGCAGCAGTGGCATCAGAGGGTGGTGCAGCAGGTGCAGCAGGTGCAGAAGGTGCAGTAGAGAGAGGAGGAGCTGGGCCACCGGAGGCAGGCGAATCAGCAGAAGAAGGCAGCAGCGGCAGGGCAGCAGCAGCAGCGGGTACGGAAAGTGCTGCTGCAGCCGCACTCCAAGAAACCAGGACGGGCACAGCACCTGCTGCGAAGTACCCTGATGCTCCGTCCCCACCCCCTGCCCCTGCCTCTGCCTCTGCCGCTGCCCCTGCTCCTGCTCCTGCTCCTGCCACTGCTTCTGTTGCAACAGTTAAAGTGGAAGTGGGTGAGGCTGACACTGCACCAGCAGCTGGAGCCACAGTTGGGTTGATACGTATACGCCTCAAAGATCGCCTTCATTCACGAGCCTCAGTTGAAACAGCTCCCCCCCCATCTTCTGCAGCAGTGCCTGTATCTGCCATATCTGCCCCTCTCATGGTTCCTCCCTCCGCCCATCCCTCTGCCGTTCCCTGTACCCCCCCTCTCCCCTCTACATCTACATCACTTAAACCATGCCTCACGGCAGCATGTGACCCGTCACCAGCCCCACCTACTACACCCTCTCCCCCTCCGCCTCTTCACCCCTCGTCCGTCCCGTTGTCAACTGCTCCTACAACTCTTCCCTCAACTCTTTCTTCGACCGTCCCGTCAACCCTTCTTTCTGACAAGCCACAGGGCCACGGGCTAGGGCAAGTGCCTGCTCCGGCTCACCTTGTCCTCCCCTCCGCTGCTGCTGTTTCTGCTGCTGCTCCTGCATCTGCTGCTCCGCTCTCTAACACTCCTGCTCTCCGCTCTCCGGTCCTCCCTCCCACTCGCCCTTCCCCCTCTGCATCCCCGTCGTTTCCTCGTACCTTAGCGTCACCTTTTCTCCTCCCTCGTCCACCCACCCAGCGGAATGTCATTGAGCTATCCCCATCACCCCCCTTGCGCCCCCCAGCCTCTGCACCCCCCCTCACCACCACGGACCCCTTCCAGTCACTCGCATCTGCCCGATCTCCCATCCCATCCCCCATACCAGCCCGCCTCACTCTCCCTCCTCGCACTCTCACTCCTCTCGCTCCCCTTGCTCCACTCCCCATTCCATCCCCACATCCAGCCTTCCTCTCTCTCCCCCAACCTCGGGAAAGCAGCTCCTTTGGTGCTCCCCTCCCCCCACCTACTTTTGCACGTTCCCCGAGCCTACTTTCCCCCACAGCATCCCCACTTCCTTTTTGCCCCTCCTTCCATTTCTTGGACCCTGGTATGGCTGGCCCATTCCCCACCACTGCTCCCAGCCTCTACACCTCTCCAGCCTCAACAAACCCGCCTCTTGCCTCCAGGTACTCGCCCTTGCCCACTCCTGCTCCGAGTGCCAACATTCACTTCCCATCTGCTGCTGCTCCCACTCCCTCCGCACCCACCCCTCCCACTGTCTCCTCGCTCCTTGCGCTCTTTGCTCTGCAAAACCCATCGTCCCATCCTGGATTCTAGGCACATGCACATTCCACATCCTGCCCTCTCCCCTACACTTTCGATCTCCTTAGAGCGTGTTCCTACGAGCCTCTTCCCAGGAAACCTCTTCCCAGACTCACGCGTGACCTTGAGAACGTGTTCCCGGTGTTACAATGCTAGAATGATTGAAACAAGGGAGTACAAGGGAGATATAGTGTTGGGGTTGTACCCACTGTTGGGCTGAAAAAAGCCCTTAGGATCTTTCCAGAGACTAAGTCCCAGTTGAAGAATGAGACTTGAGTAGTGCAGTGGAAGTTGAGGCAGTTGAACCCTTGTACTAGTATATGAGAACAAGTGATTGATTAAAGAAACAAGCATACAGCAATATATAGAAAATAGGAAAGTAAAGCAGTTGTAGAATACAGTTGTAGGAGCGGTTATCGAGTCGCACAGCGACTCGATTATCGCTTCGGTTACTATTCGTGCAGTTGTAACGGTCAGTCGCAACCTCCAGTTGCGACCCTTCGAGTCCCTTAGCGTTCTTTGTCCACCCCCTCGTGTAACCTCCGTTGACTCGCGTACCCGTTGCGATCTTCCTCGAGTGTAGTGTTACACTTCAGAAACGCTCAAGTCCTTTGAGGTATTTCCAACACTCCCCTTCGTTTCTGGAGTGCTGACGTGTTCAAATCCGGTGACGTTTGTCTGCCCGGTCAGCAGCGTGCAGTAATCGAATTTTGCCTTCGCCAATTTCTTCGTCAGATAGTCTGCGGCCATTTCTGTCGTAGGGCAGTAACTGAGTTGAAGTCTCCCCTTCGCGATTTCATCCTTGACGAAAAAGTACCGCAGGGCGATGTGCTTGGTTCGGTTGGCGAAGCCGTCCTTGTTCGCGATTTTGATCGCATATTGGTTGTCGCAGAGGAGTGAGAAGACGGGCAGGGTCGCAATCTTCGCTTCCTCGAGCAACTCTCGTAGGTAGAGTCCTTCCTTGGTCGCAGTACAGAGGGCGATATATTCTGCTTCAGCCGAAGATAGTGCGATTAGTTCCTGCTTGCTCGACTGCCAGGAGATAGTCCCGATAGGTTTTAGTCGGTAGATGTAGCCCGTTCTCGATCGTTGATTCCCCTTGTCTCCCGCGTGGTCGGCGTCGACGTATCCGAGTAGTTGTACGGACGATGCCGTTACTTTACTGTAGGTAAGCCCGGTCGTCGGCGTGGAGATGAAGTAGAGTAGTGCCCGATTAAGTTCCTCGAGATTTCCTTGTTCCGGCTGCTTCAGATGCGTCGCCAGTTGGCTCGCGCTATAAGATAGATCGGGTCGGCAGGTTACTGCTGCGAATAGTAGGCAGCCGAGTTTCTGCTGATACTCCTGGATTTGCTTCGCGGGGAGTTTTGCGGAGGTGCTGCTATTGTTCCCGTAGCGGTAGGGAGTCGGGACCGTAGTCGGCGTTAGACCGAATTTCTTCGCGACAGTGCCTGCGTATTTTCCAGCGTGTAGGTAGAACGCCGAGTTGTCTTCGACGACATTCAGTCCCAGGTACTGGGTCACTGTGTCGGACACTGTGAGTGTCAAGTCCCCTTTCAGCTCCCCTTCGAACCAGGTGGCGATGTCGGTAGTGGAACCGATGTAGAGCAGATCGTCGACGTAAACGATGAGTAGGATATACTCTCTTCCCTTCTGCAGTCGGTACATGCCTTGGTCATGCGGCAGCTGTACGATTTTTATGAGGCGACCGTGAAGATGCTGCTGCCACAGCCGCGGGGCTTGCTTGATCCCGTAAAGGGATTTTATCAGCTGGCATACTTTTGTGGGATCGTCGATGAATCTGTGGGGTTGCTCGACAAAGATCTCAGCGTCCACAGGTGCGTACAGGAAGGCATTGGCGACGTCGATTTGGCGCAGTGGTAGTTTCTTCGTGGCCGCGACGGCGAGTAGGATGCGCAAGGAGGTCTGACGGGAGACTGGGGCGAATGTTTCTGTGTAGTCGGTTCCGTATCGTTGATCGAACCCTCGTACGACCCATCGAGCCTTGAATCATTCGATGGAACCGTCCGCATTGGTCTTGATGCGGTACACCCACTTTCCCGAGAGGACGTTCTTCCCGTTGATGCTTGTTGCAGGTACCAGCTTCCATGTATTTCGGTCTTGCAAAGCCTTTAGTTCCTTTTCCATCGCCTCCTTCCATTTCGCCTAATGTTCCCCCCCCAGAGCCTGTGACAGAGTCGTGGGCTCGCGCGGAGATGGCGGCGGTGGATGCTGGACGGAGACCCATAAGCCGAGAATTTGCAGTCCCGTGGGTGTGTGTCGAGCGGAATTTTCATTCCCGGAATAGGCTGCTTCGTCACCATCTTCTGGATCAGGTAAGAAGTTTGGGCCGATGCGTTCTGAGATGTTCGTGTCGACCGGGTGAGGTGTAATGTAACCTTGGTCAGCGAAGTGGTAAAGGGTGTCGAGATTGTTGCTATCGAGAGGATTGTCGTCGTCGAGTGGGACTGGCACGAAGCAGTAAGGGAGTGGTGCGGCAGCTTCCGAAGCTCCACGTACGTCTTCTTCTGCTGCGTCAGCTTCGGCAGCACGGTCAGCGAAGGAGCGAAGGCCTGCGACACCGTCGGTGTTGGAGAAGAACGCGACGACCGTGGCGGGACTTCGGCAGACTTCTCGTGTGATGGGCATAAGTTGATCTGCTTCGGTTGGCGGTCCTCGGATCGCTGGTGGTGGTACTCGGCTGGGTCCTGCTGCTGCTACTGCAGGTGATGGTGGGGAAGGGACACTTGCTGGTACTTGTCTTTCTTGTCTGATGACTGCTAATGCTCGTGTTCTCTCTGCTGCAAGTATGGTGTTGGAGTACCAGAATCCATCGGGGTTGAAGTCGGGATCAAGATCCGGCGGGTGTGTCCAGGCGGCGAACGACACAATCCCATCGCTGTCGGCAGTACCGCGGTCGGGGACGAAGTCCAACACGAAGACGCCGGACTTCAGGAGAGCACGACCGATGAAGAGGCCGCCTTTCCCGTGGTAAAGACGAAACTCGTTGGAGTCCGAGTCACACTCCAGGTGAATCCCTTTTGCCATTAGCTGGCTGACGCTTAGCTGATTGTATCCCAAGTTGTCGACGATTAGGACCTTGTTGAGTTGCAGGATGACATTTGTTTCCATGGACTGTAACTGAACCACTCCTTGTCTTTTTGTTTTCAGGTTTTCGTTGTTGGCGACGATGATGATGACGTCGCGGTTGAGGCGTCGTTCTCATTGCACGAAGCGTCCAGAAGAACACATGTGTTGACCGCAGCAACTGTCCAAGAACCAGGTGTTTCGTCCGGTGGGTTCGGCGTTGGCGACTGCAGCATATGTCGGGTTGACTTGAAGTCCTTGTGAGCTCGGCGGCGAGAGTTCTTCTTCATCTGGCGCGTAAGTGGGTGGTGATCTTGGTGCGCAGTTGTCGATGTGTACCATACAGTTGATGATGTTCGGTGTCCCTTGTGCAGATGTGGAGGAACGCCTTGGAGGGCTTTCTTGAGTGGAAGCGACTTGTGGGTCTACTGGGCGATAAACACGAGGACGTGTGCAGTTGACTTTGGAATGTCCGGATGTTTGACAGTTGTGGCAGAACGGCGGCACGATGGTGAGTCCTCTGTTGTCGCGTTGATCTTGCTTGCCGCGTTGATTGTAGTTGTTGTCGTTCCTTCGTTGAGTGTAGAAAACTAACTGCTGCTGCTTTCTTGGTTGTCTTTCTTCGAACAGGTCCATCTCCTGTTGTTCAGCATGAAGCTCGGCGCAGAGGTGCATCTCCGAGATCCTTCGGTGGGCGCGAAGAAGCGAGCGTGTGGTTCTCCATTCTGGCCCGAGCCCGGCGAGGACAAGCGTCACGAAGCTTTCTTCAGTGATTGTTCCTCCGCACCGAAGCAGGCGGTCGCGGAGTGTTTGGCATCGACTCATATACTGCATCGCCTTTTCCCCCGTCTTCATTTGTATTGTTGTCAGCTGCTGCATGAGTCTGCTTTGTGTCACGCTGTCGTTTGCTTGATAGAGACACTTGAGGTGATGCCATGCGAGTTCCGCGGAGTTTCCGTAGCCCCGATATGTTCTGATGCTTTGTTGTTCTTGTGGTGACAGGTTCCGCAGGAGAACTGTGTACGCCAGCAGCGACTGATACGTAAAGATTTCTTGCTCCTTTCCAGTGCCGTTGCTTGGGAATGGCAGGGACCCGTTGAAGTATCCCAAGAGATGCGCAGCCTCCATCAGCAGCTCGAACTCAAAACTCCAGGTAAAGAAATCGTGTCCGTTGAATGGTGAGGATGTCTGCAGTTTAATCACGTGTGAAAACTGCGCCTGGAGACTTAAAATCTCGTTTGGTGTCTGTTGTGATGCAGCTGCTGTTGGTTGGGCATGGGGCGGCATGAACTCGAATGTCCCCGGTGAATAGTGATAAGGCGCAAAGGTAGGCGCTTGATTGTGTCGCCCGAACGATGAGTTGTCAAGGCTCATCGGCGCTAATCCCATGTTTCCTCCGTTGCTTTGTGTTGAATGCGCAGGTGTCCTTGTCTGCTGCTGCTGGTTGAAGTGCGACATGAAGCTGAAGAACCTTTCCATAAGGTTTGGGTCCACGCTTGAAGAGGGTGATGGGGTCACCATTTCCGGTGCTTTTCCTGTTGTTTCTTGAGCAGCACCGATCTCAATTTGCAGTCCTGAAGTGTGCAATCCAGAGTTGTCGGGTTGAGTGTCTTGGGCGCTGGGTGAGCCTGTAGAGATTTTCTTGCCCTTGCTGTCCATGACTTGTAATCAATGGAGTCGTTGAATTGCAGATTGTAGATAGAGCGTAGTTGCTGGGAGTTTGGTCTCTGGCCAGCTCTCATACCATGTTGGGCTGAAAAAAGCCCTTGGGATCTTTCCAGAGACTAAGTCCCAGTTGAAGAATGAGACTTGAGTAGTGCAGCGGAAGTTGAGGCAGTTGAACCCTTGTACTAGTATATGAGAACAAGTGATTGATTAAAGAAACAAGCATACAGCAATATATAGAAAACAGGAAAGTAAAGCAGTTGTAGAATACAGTTGCAGGAGCGGTTATCGAGTCGCACAGCGACTCGATTGTCGCTTCGGTTACTATTCGTGCAGTTGTAACGGTCAGTCGCAACCTCCAGTTGCGACCCTTCGAGTCCCTTAGCGTTCTTTGTCCACCCCCTCGTGTAACCTCCGTTGACTCGCGTACCCGTTGCGATCTTCCTCGAGTGTAGTGTTACACTTCAGAAACGCTCAAGTCCTTTGAGGTATTTCCAACACTCCCCTTCGTTTCTGGAGTGCTGACGTGTTCAAATCCGGTGACGTTTGTCTGCCCGGTCAGCAGCGTGCAGTAATCGAATTTTGCCTTCGCCAATTTCTTCGTCAGA